GATAGCCCAACTGGTAAAGTTTCGGGCGCGCGACCATATGAACCGGGTTCGAGTACCGGTCTAGACTGTCCGAAGTATTTTTTTTTATTTTATTGTCCGTGACAGTAGCGTAAAATCACCGTATTTCGACAGTATATTGAGCGTACGGCATCGGTCATAACATCGTAGATTCACTTGCGTATACACCGTATATATTCAATAAATTAATAGTAGACATCGTTCACAACGGTATCCGATGCTGACTGACAGATCGCTCGGTAAGAACGAACTTTATACGGTGAAACGACCGTGAAACAACCGTCAAGCGACCGTGCTTTCACCGTGCTGCCGAAACCGCCAGGGTAGCTATGATCAGATCTGATTATATTTCTTCGAATTTTGTTAAATAAAGATTATGGAAAGATCTGACCAAATCTAGGATAGAAGTACCGTTTTTGGCCATCTTAGCACCGTTTTTGGCCAGTTAACATTTGAATTAATTTATAAAAAATTATGATATTATAACTACATTTTTGTTGAGTTTTAAAAAATTTATATTAAAAAAAATTGAGTTTGTAATGGTTAATTAATATCAATTCATTTTTGTCGTTTAATTGAACAATAAATGGCCATAAACGGTACTTCTACCCTACATGGTCATAAATGATCACATCTGGTCATACTTGATCACTGACCAATGATTAGACATGGCCAGATATGATTAAAAGTGATCACAATCATTATCAGACGTAGTCACATATGATCAAACAGAGTCACGCCTGATCACAGATCCGATCACATGTGATCAATCATGATCAGATGATCACATATTACTAACTAGCTTTTACCCGCGGCTTCGCTCGCATTGAAGCCATTAAATAAGTATCAGAGATCATTACAATAGAAATGAATCTTTTCAAACAATTTTTTTATATTTCGTAAAAAATACATTTTTTTTATAAAAAATATCATATGTTACTTCTATCACCTCCAAAAATATGTGAACAAAGTTTCATGGTGATCAATTAAGTAGCTTTCCCGTAAAAGCGTAACAAGCAAACTTACATTCATATTTATAATATATACATTTATACATTTATAATATTATATATAGTAGAGAAGTAGGGATGATCAGTGACCAAGCGTAGTAATATGTTATTAAATATGTTCAAATCTGATCATTGATCAGACACGGTTGTATCTTATCACTTACCAGAGATGGTCACATCTGATCAGACACGACCAAATATGATTTTTCCAGGTACCGCTCAATAGTGAATATTTAAATACATAATCAGATCTACATGATCACATTTAAACACTTACCACTGATCAGAAAAGATCATATCTGATCAAATATGTCATATATGATCACATAAGTCAGAGATGATCACGTCTTGATCACTAACCAGTGATGACATGGTCACATGGTCTAAAAAAGATCACACTCTGACCACTGACCAGTGGTCAGACATGGCCACATAGGTCAGAAATGATCACAGTCTGACCACCAACGAGTGATCAGATATGGTCACATAGTCCAGAAATGATCACTAACTAGTGATCAAAAATGGTCACGAAGGTCAGAAATGATCACTAATTAGTGATCAGACACGGTCACACTTGATCATAGGCCAGATCTCTTCAAATAGAGGCTATTGATATATCTAGATCTGTCCATTGTAATTTACAGGTATAGGATCAAACCAAGCGCATCTTCGATCTCTGACTGCCCAGAATTTACTGCCTCCAGTCTGGCTAACAGTGGCATTCTACTACGACGTCGTCCGTATCGGAGTTGGAGCCATGAAATCAGCAATCAAAAAAAAATCCTGGCCAACCTCTTTGAAACCTCGATTCATAACATGCGAAGAATATAATGGGAATAATACTCCAACTTATAATTTTGATTTGCTTGGTGAATTACGTAACGCAACCACAAATAAACTTGAACCGACATTCACTAGATTTCATTGGGGTGAAAATAACGGTGAGCATCACGCGGAATTTAATATTGGTGTCAATATGGTGGTTATCAACGATGGAAATTCTATTTTCTCTGACGATTTAGGTCTCTGGAATGTTGATATTTGTTCGCCGGTGAGTATATAAGTTATTTTCAATAACGTGTTTACGAATTTATTTTAATCCTACATTGAATGAATAACAAACTTTAATGAGACTATTTTCTGAATGAAAATATTTTATTTAATTAAAAAAACACTGGCGGATAAGTAAAAGTCTCTTTGACGGAGTTTTTTAAATTAAAATATTGCCTTCTAAAAGAAACTACAAGGACTTTATAAGTATACTTTTTTGAAACTCCTTCTTTGAGAGTTCAATATCCGAGTGTTGTGCGACGCAAGTAAATGCCACATTTTTGTAGGTGTTAATCGAAGTGTGGAAGTATATACACTCGACGAAAAATTCTTACTTGTTGTATTGAAGAGTGTATCAAAGGAGCTTTGTTTGAAAAAACCTATACAAATCGTAGATTGAATGTCGCTTATTTTTGCGGCGGCTTTTATGAAAATATATATACTTTTTAAAAGAGAGGGGTTGGAGTAGAATAAAGCATTATGGATTTGAGGTGGCTAAGTGCCAAAGAGAGTGGAATATTGTTTGTGTATAAAAAGAAAAATAATGTACTTTTAGAAATGTAAATTTTATACATTATAGGAAATGTAAATTTTATGCATTATAGGAAATGTAAATTTTATGGAAAAACTGTTGAATTTACATGAAAGAAAAAAAAAGGAAATTTAACATTAGAAAATTTGTTAATTTTAGATTAGAAATCTACAAATTCTACATTACGATAGAGGATAGGAGTGGAGGGAGAGGGGGGGGGGAGATTTCTAAAGTAATTTTTAACGTCATCATAAAGATTTGTTTTTAAACGAGATTTTTCTCTCTAAAAGTATTTTTCGTTAGAAATTTTTAAAAGCGTTTAAAATTACAGGAAGCAAAACGGAGAATCCCAAAAGTTTTATAAAAAATTTTTTTCTTCTAAAAGCTCTAAACATATTTCAAAAGCGCCATTCGACCACACCCGACATGGATAGGTAGATTTCTTGTTTGAATATTAAAAAAAAATTAGGAAAACGGTTGACCCTGAAGGCCATCCCTGCAACTTCCCGCCAATTCCATACCTAAACACTTGAAATTGCACTTATGACGTTTTTGAGCTCTTCGACCTCAAAAATACCATTTGTGTGTTATTTTGAGCTCTCTGAGCTCAAAGAAATAGCTTCTTCGAGCTCAAAATCTGATAAGAGTTTGATAAAACACCACTTTTCAAATTTTCAAACCGTAATAACTTTTGAATGAATGAACCGATTTTTATGCGGTTGGCGGTATTCGACGCAGTTTTTTAGCGGCGATAGACGTAGTTTTTTGATGTTCAGAGCTGATTAGTTTTTGGAATTGATTGGTAGAGCCGTTTGAAAGTTATTCCAAAAAAACCATATTGGAAAAAATTTTTTTTCGTAGTCTTTATGAGATTTCTTAAAATCTACCGGTTCGAATAGGTCCAAATTGTATTATAATTCTAAGTTTGATCAATCCCTTTCGCATGACGTCAACCGCGATGAAATCGGTCAAGCCGTTCATAAGTTATGAGAAATTTACATACACACACACACACACCATCGCGGGAATAGTCAGGAAAACTTCCTAGGACCTCAAAACGTCGAGATGTGATGAAAACTCGATTTTCGAAAAACGGGGTAAAAACCATAACTTCCCGATTTTTTAAAATCTTCGATTTTCTTAACGGGAAGTTAAAAAAATTTCTTATTTTTTTCAATGCCATTTCAAAGTATTTTTAGAAATACAATTTCAAAACTGACATATTTTTTGTCAAAGTAATATTGATATCGCTTACCAGATAACGCTAGTTTTAACTTTAAAACATAAAATAATTTTCAAGTGATCATAAAACAGAACTATTAATCGGTTAATAACTATAAAAATTGACTAATTGTGAGTGAGAATGATAGCAATTAATAACTAAGTTTAAAATAACTTTCATTATCGTGTATAAGATACGACACATAGTTTCAACTCCATATCGAAGAGTCTAAAAATTTATTAATTTCTGAATCAAATTCATTATTATAAGTGACATCAACTTGATCATTCCGCGAAATATAATTTTTTGAGTCGAATTTCTCAGAATAAAAACAATGGTTTTAAATTTTTACTCAAAATTGTTGTTACTACTTGCATTTGAACATTCGTTAGGTATTCAACTATCGGATATTTATAATATACATCAGATAAAACAATATAAGTCAATTTTACGTGCAGAACTGCTATTGTATCACTATTCGGGAATTATTCAAAATAATACCAATGAACAAAATATAAAATTGAAAGCTTGTTTGCATTCTCTAACCGATAATTTAGACCAACTGAATTTAATCGCTAATGATCAGGAAAATAATTATTGGTCAAATGATTTTTACAAATTCATAAAAACTGTCGAAGTACATCAAATAAAAATAGGCTATGCCGGATCATTTTTCGAATTGGAGAATCACGTAAGGCTAATTGAGAAAAAACGCGATGCTATTGATTCCGTGGTCAGATCAGTGATTTACTTTCGCAATAATGATTATTTCAATGAAGCAATCAACATGTGCCCATATTTATATTTCCTTTTCCGACTTGTGAATTCAAATCACTATGAACAATCGATTGCGGCAGTGTATCAGGACTTTCTTCGTACACTGATCACCAAATTGGCTGTAAGTATTTCAAATTTATTATTTACCATCAATTTTTCAAACATCTTACCGTTCATTACATGACACTGGTGTGAATTATCAAGACTGAAGACGAACATAATTTCTGTGGCAAGGCCAGTTCATTTCGCGTTGGACTGTTCAATTTCTATCGGCTCGTAATGACACCATTTTTGAAAAAATACGTGATGGTTGAATTCGCTAAAATAATTGAATCACGTTGTAAAAATCGTAAGTCCTCAGCATGAACAAAATGTTTTTATTACATCAATAGTTATCATAATTGAATTCATTTATAGGAACATTAATATATTCTTCTCATGATGAGCTTATAGAGGATTTTGTCAGTGTAATAGAACTAACCAAGAAATTATTGCATGATGTTTCGCACTACATACATCGTTGCGACGTTAAGCTTACTACCAAATGTAATTATCTTTGCATTTATTTTTAATAAAAACACTCATTTTATACATATATTTTTTTTCATTGTAGATAACAAGGGTTTGGTTTATTACGAACTAGAAAAAATGATTCAGACAATAATTATTGAAGAAAGAGCAATAAGCAGTGATGACTCTTGCAGCATTAATTGTAATCCAACGAATGAAAAAATTAATCATTCAGAGTGTCTTGCTTTTCAGAATTGCCAATATATTACAAATCGCTATGAATTTTGTCCAGTAAGTATATACTTTTTAGACACAACTGACGCCTCTTTTACAGCTTCTATAGCAACCTATCTTAGCAACAGGCTTTAACAATGCCTACTTTACTCCTTCTTTACCAATAACTGGTACCGCGATATTTCAGCCCCCGACAAAATATACAGAAGACAAAATATGCCAAGGACAAAAGATCCCCGACATAATATCTTCTGACAAAATATTTCCAAGTATAAGGCAGAATAAAAAAGAGATTAAATGAGAAGCTTATAATCATAGTTTTGAAAAGTTTGGAAAATCCAAATGAGTATGCCTTAAGCGCTCATATCATATACAAATAATTTAGATTGAATGTTTAGATTACGATTTGTTAACTTTTTCTTTTTAGTAAGACTTCTATACTTTTTTTATTCGTTTTTTTGAATTTTTCCGCGAGTGGTGTTATCTCCTCTGTAAGTCGAGCTAAAAAAAAATCTTAACAGATGATAAAATAGTTAGAAATTATACTATCATGTATGTATAGTTTCTACTTGTTTATAGTTATTTCAATTCTATTTTATGAAAAATAATATATACTAGAATTCAAATTTGCGCGCGCCTGACTATAGAGTTTGTATATATTTTCATGCTTATGATATATTCGACCAATCACGTTACGAATAGTTTGCTTACATGATATCTTTTCATATTTTTCATCTAAATTATAAGAGTGGACTAGAATTCAAATTTGCGCGCGCAAGCGCGTGCCTTGACTATAGCGAGTTTGCATATATTTTCATGCATATGATATATTTGACCAATCACATCACGACTAGATTGGTTTCACATACATTTCATCTCAATTTTATTATGGGATGGCTGCCGAAATCGCAGAAAAAGTCACCCAACTGACAGTCGAAAAAAATTAACTGTATTGAAACGGAATTATTTTGACACGCAATTTTCACAAGGGCTTTGGTAAACTCCCTAAGGAATAAAATAAAAAAAAATTAAATCGTGAAAATGATTTTTGACAAAGTTGGTGTGTTATCAAGCCTAGTGCTCCTGAGAATAACACGCTCTTATTCACTTATTTCGTCAGAAAAACGAGTTTTTCCAGAGAAATCTTATTTAATCGATAAGAAAATTTTTTTCATGTGGTCTGTAGTTATTATTATTTATCTCAATATGCTTTTTATACATAATTTTTTTCGTTTAATTTATGAAAATCACGTTTGAATCGAAATCACGATTTTTAGGCGAGAGTAGAGCATACCTCCGCGCTCCGCGCTTGAGGTATGCAATAGATGATAATAATTATAGAAATTTATATATTATTATTTTTAATTTAAATTTATTTGGCGCGATAATAATAGATCAGTAAATTTTGATCCGAGCTTATGTGTTGATCTACTATCGAATAAACACACAAAATCCATGATAAAAGGGCAAAACACGGTCACAAGCTTATGTGTTAGTCTACTTTCGAATTTCATTCGGATTATTTTCCGAAATTATTTTCCCTTTCCTTTTTCTTAACTATTTCTCCCCAGTAAAAAAAAATTACTCCTAAGATTCAAGCGGGAAAGGGTTATTTTGTCGGGGACTGAAATGTCGCGGAATATTAGCAACTTTCTGTAACAACAAGCCTTAACCACGCCTCTCTGAGAAAATCCTTCACTTTTAGGTTTTTGCACTAACTTTTTACCGAATCATACTTATTACACTCAGAAATTGAATAAAATAAATAATAATAAATGTTTTAAGTCTATTAATACAAGTTCAAGACGTTACGAATGGTTCAAGGACAAAAATGGTGAAGTATATGGACACTTTAATCACGGAAATTGTTTAAACAAAATTGAATCCGTAGAAAGTTATTACCATGCTGGAAAATTACGCGAATGTGATTATTGTGTTTGTACTTGTGTAATAAATCCATTCTCCAAGGGGCCTCAAGTCACTGTATTCAGCTTCAGAGAGCAAGTTTCGGATATTGATGACGGAATGTTCGTATTTGTAATTCTTAAAGAAATCTCTGATAATTAATGTATGATTTAAATTTTGAACAGGGTTGTTGTGGGAGTAAAATTCATAAAGAAGAATAACATGATGCATATTCAAATCAAGCAGGGTAGGCTGTTTTCCAATGGACTTATCCGCTTTTCTAATTGGAAGGAACTCGAAACTATTTCTAAAGATGATAAATTTCATCAATTTTTCGTTGATGTCAATGTAACCCATTCAAAGCAACTCAAGTCGGGAGTCGATTATGGATTTATAAATAGGATCAATTTTAACGACGTGTATGCTCCTGAAGGATTCGTTGTCACGGGAGTTAGACTTCAACTTGCTGGGAATTTTATTAGTGAATTGGAAAAATATTCGATCGGATTGGAAATTCGAATCACACGATTCGATTTCTCATCAGGAAAACTTAGTCTTTTTGAAACATACTGGATTAAAGGAAGTGAGGAGACTAGGTTAGTGATTCATTGATATTTTTCTAAAATCAAGTTCATATCATTCGAAAATGATTTCAATAATTTTATCTTTTAGAGAAGAAATTGTCATACCCAATCCAGACAATCCAACTCGATCGCCCAAAAATCTAATCATTTCGAAAAAAAATAAGTTCATAAGATTCGGAGCTTCGGATTTGAAGAAAGATGCCGGGCAGTCAACAGTTCCGTTTTTTGACGCTCAAGAAGTTGAAGGCGATCCGGAATTCGCTTTGGGGGGCGTAGGGATCATTCTCCGTGGGCAGGATGGATACGGAGGTTTTTTGGCCCTCAGAATATTTGATCTACAGATTCACCAGTATCTTAAGTCTAAAGATACTATTAATTGAATTTAAACATTTTTTTTTGTCTAAAAATAAAGAAATATAACACTTAAAAAGCATTCATCAATATTAACCCGTTGATATTCTTCAAGATATTTCTATTTTTTTATTGTAATAATTATGATAAAAGAGTTTTATGACAAAAAAATAAATCTTTTTATGTTATTTTGCATGTTTAAATGTCTTATTCTTATTTTAAGCACACACACACACACACACGGAAAAAAATTTATTGTTGCTGCAACAGGAGGCAGCCATGTTGCAACAACAGGAAAAAATTCTGTTGCAGCAACAGGATTACTACTGTTGTTGATAGTAAAATAAAGTTGGGTCGATCCATGTCAAATCGACCAATAGTTGGAATCGACCCCTTTCGATTTGGATAAATTTTGGTCAGAAGTTTTCTTTTATCATACAACGAACTTCTGCCAAAGGAAAAAAAATGACAAAATTTTTTTCAAAAGATATGCAAATTCAAAATTTCGCGATTTTCCCAGTTTTTCAATTTTGTTTTTGTTATATCTCAAACGCTATTATAGACACAGGAATGGACTTTTGTTTGTTTGAAAGGGGACATTTGGGGCTATTGAAAAAAAAAAATATTTTGAAAAATGCCAAATTTGTTAAATTTTGAATTTTTTAAAATCGTTAAAAATGTCGATCTATATTAAAATTTTGGCTCAATTTTTTTATGTATAATACCTTGTACTGATCTTAAAAGATCCTGAAATTTTTAGAACTGTGTTTTTTTTTTTAATATGAACTTTTCAATTTGAAAAAAAAAAATTTCCTTTTGTTTTTCGCAACTTCTAATTTTGAGCATTAAAAAGTTAAATGCACGACGTGGAAATATTAAATAATAAATTAATTTCAACTTTTTTTTCTATTTTTTGAATTGATTTTTTTTTTATTTTCCCAACTACGAAATAAATTGAAAAAAGTATCAAAAGTCGACGAAAAAAACTTAAATTGAAGCTAATCATGTGAACTTTACAATAAATTTAACCTAACTTTTACGGCTTAAAAATTATTTAAAGAAAAAGGGTTGAAATACGTTCATTGAAAAATTTTTTTAAATTTTCAAAATCACGGAATTAATTAATTAAAAAAATCCTCAAAACTAGACGAATAATAGCTTAAATTGAAGGTAATTCAATGAAGTTTGAGATAAATTTAATAGATTTCATCTATGTTTTACATCTGGAAAATTATTTCCATAAAATATACAAAATTCAAAATTTTTTAAAAATAAAAAAAATTTTCAAACACCCACAACTGGCACCGACAACTGACATGGCGCGTTATATCACATGTATATGTAAACTTTTGAGTCAATGCCTTTTTTGACATTACTCGATGAAATGAAACATATTATGACAAAATTTTCTTAAAATTACGGTGACACGACAAAATCTCCCCGACAAAATCTAATTTTAAATAATTTTAAATAATAATATTATTATTCCTGACAGTTGTGATGGTACTTTTCGTGTAAATATACACAAAAAATCATAATAAAAGGGCACAACGAGATTTTGAAGCGTATTTTGTCGGGGAGATTTCGTGGTGCAACCAAAATTACGACATAAGATCGGCTACAACAGTTAGATTTCTAAAGAAATCTACCTAAAAATATATTTTAATGTAATTTTCCGCTTCGCGTTTTGAGGCGTACAATATAAATATTGAACTTCAAAAATTTATATTTTTGTTTAACTTTATAAATTTAAACTTTAAAAATTTAAAAACTAAAATCAAATATCTAACTTTCAGTTGACAAGCAAAACTAATACAACCCTCGCTCATTACACCGAAGTTCCAACTTACCGAATTGTCACAGTAGAAAGACCGCCATTCATGGAGTTCAACAAGGAAACGAAGAAATGGGAAGGCATCTGCATCGACTTGCTGGAAGAAATGCAAAAGTATACAAAATTCAATTACGAAATTTACGAATCTCCGGATGGCGAATATGGATCACTGAACGACAAAGGTGAATGGAACGGCATGATTAAGGAACTAATCACAGACAACGCTGATGTTGCACTGGGTGCCCTATCCGTGACAGCAACACGTGAATACGCAATTGATTTCACGGTGCCGTACTACGAACCCGTTGGTTACTCGGTGATAACGAAGCGTCAATTGGATTCAACGAGTTTGTTCGTCTTCAGAAAATCAATGAGCTGGAAAGTTTGGGTCTGCAGCTTGGCGGCGTTCATCTCGACCAGTCTTCTGATTTACATATTCGACCGATGGTCACCCTACAGCTACCGCAACGACCCGCATAACAAGTATAATAGACATCACACGCGTATCTTTACTCTGAGAAACAGCTTTTGGTACACGATGTCTTGCTTGGGGCCGTCGGGAGGTGGCCCTCCACCCAAGAATTTTTCTGGACAAATCCTCGCCTGTAGCTGGTGGGGCTTTGGGTTCATCACTATCGCAGCTTATTCCGCTAATTTAGCAGCTTCCACGACTGTAGGCCGACTTCAACCGACCATCAAGACGTGGGATCAGGTCAGAGAACAGTTCAAGATCCAGTACGCGCCTATTAAGGATTCTAATGCTTACCAATATTTTTTCGGGATGAAAGCCATTGAGGAAAGCTTCTACGAGTAAGTTTTTATGGAACTTTTTTGATTATTTTTCTTCAAGATTCCACGATTCTACTGAGTATGATTGAAATTCTATAGGATACAATCTCGGATTGTATCCAGTGAAATCTTACGCAGTATGATCTGAGATTTTACTGGGGGGGAAATGGGAGATTACAATGAGCATAATCCAGATATCACTCAGTATAATTTGGATTATACTAACCTATCAATTAAAAAAATCCATATGGGAAACCAGCCTGGATTTCCCGAACAGAAATCCATGTATCCACAGGTTCCTATGTGGATTCCTATAGGAATCCATATTTCCTACACGGAGAGAAAAATATGGAAATCATTCCTATAATTTTAATGAAATATTTTCCTATACCATTTTAGGAGCGATTACTTAAATTATGGGAATTATACCCATAATTTTTGGGAAACGTTACTATAATTATGGGAATGGTTCCTATAATTATAGGAACGATACCTATAATTATAACTGTAATATCGGCATGATTCCCATAATATATAGGAATAGTTTCCATAATATTATAAATATAATAAATATTATAAATATGAAACCATTCCTATAATATTATGGGAACCATTCCCATAATATTAAAGTAATTTTTTTTTCACACAACTGTGGTATTGAATTAATTACTTTTCACTAGATTTATATTTTTTTTGATTAAGTGATTCTTTTGTTATAATATATAAATTGATGAAAAAAGTTATCAGTCATAATATTCATTATTATTATCATTATGAAATTAATCAGTTGATATTTTTTTAATCTTGAACGGTATACATGCTTGTAAATTAAAATAAAATTAATTAAAAAAAAAAAAAGGTAATTAAAAAAAAAATTTCTTAAATAAAATAAAATTTCCAATTGTTTTGAAATTCCAAATTTTCAAATGCTTTCTCGGCTCAACGTATGTATTGTAAATAAATAATTTACTTTAAAAATAAAATGAAATTGTG